CCCAGTGTAATTAAAGGTGACCAGGCACATTTAGAAGTTGATGTCTTTCAGATATTCCAAGCTCAATATTCAAAAACAGAAGTAGCAGAAATCTTATTGCATCTGAAAAGCTTGACCAAGTAGTTACGCATAACCCATATTTATCTAAATTTGTATTTGGTGTGAGTACTGAATTGTTCAATTTTTCAACCTCTGTCTTTTAAAAAATAAGTGTTTTCAAGTTGAATCTTCTTCAAGTAGGTGGTTGTTAGAGAACAGCACTGGGCAGGGAGGAGGGTTAAATGGTGGGAGCTAGCCCAGGGTACCAATCTGTGGAGATAATGAACTGAAAGGCAATCTTGAAATAATATTTTTCACTTCTACAATGCCTTTAATTTGAAAACAAAAAAAGCACACTACAAAGACCATGCCCTTGCTGGGCTGCAGTTGCTTCCATCAAATCCTTTGAGAGGCTTTTCAGCTGCTCTGTCTGTCCTCAGAGCTGGTCTGTCAGTCCTAGTCTCGTACCTCCCCAGCAGAAGGTCTTGTGCAAATCAGTGCACCGTTACCAAAAAGCAAATTGAAAAACAAACATTGCATATGCATGAGCTTCACATCCACCAAACCAGGGTAGTCCAGAATTATGGATGCTGTTTATACTAAAAGAAAAAAAAAAAACCACCCACAAAAAGTACAAAGAAACCCACCGAACTTGGAACAGAAGTCGTTCTGCGTGATACACAGCTGAAGAACTAGACAGAAACGTGGACTACTTTGAGAACTTTTAGGGGGGGAAAAAGAGGCTTCTCTTGATTTATGATGAATCTCATTGCAGAAGGAATTTAAATCAGCCCTTAATCTTATTCTAGTGCTTTTCCTTTTTTTTTTTTCTTTCCTTTTTTTTCTTCCATTTGGTGATGTTTCCTTTCTGAAAACTGTATGTAGCAGGATGCAACAAAAGCATTTGCTTCTCTGGCCTTTTGAGATGAATTATATTTAAATCCAGTTCATCCAATATCTGGGGGGGGACACTTGCTTGTGCGCTGCTTCCCTTTAACCAGTTCTTTGCTGTTCTGACTTCATGATTCACCATCACTGTATATACATGGAAAAGAAAGAAAAACACACTGGTGTCATGCTGCTGGGTTAGTTGTCTCAGCAG